CCTCAGGGCTAAAACCACATCAAAGAACACACCATGTGGTGACTTCCCTAGGGACAGGTAGAGAATGGCACTAAGATCCAGAGGTCTCCATGAAAGATTCCAGCATGCAGCTTAGACAGACAACACAAGATCAGCGGGTTCCACAAGAGGAGGGGGTTTATTCAGGGTGGAGGATGGGGAGAGAAACGGGAGGAATGGCGGAGAGAGAGGAGGGAGAGAGAGGGGTGGAAGAAGGAGAGAGGCCGGCCATGACCACATGGAGAGAGAGGAAGGGAAGAGGGGAGAGGCAAGGGGACAGAGGAAACCTGTAGGCAAGAGATCAAGGGAGCAAGAGAGAGGGGAAGGGCCAAGCAGCCCCTTTTATAATGGGCACAGCTACCTGGCTGTTGCCAGGTAACTGTGGGGAGGAGCATACCTGGCTGTTGCCAGGTAACTGTGGTGGTGGAGTTTAGACAGAATACTAACATTCCCCCATTTTGGTTTAATTAAAAAAGAAAATTAGAAAGAGGTGACAGCGAAGCAGGAAGCAGGAATAGGGTCGTTGTGATATCTGGCTACTTCCTGCTGGCATTGGGGGCGATGTGTCTCTAGAGGGAACCTAGAAGAATGGGTATGAGAGATGTTTGTCCGGTTCTGCTGTCCAGGGTCTATGTAGCGAGCCATATGAGGATAGGTCAGAAGGAACAGGTCCAGTAGAAGCAGCTGTGTGTGTGACAGGAGATGGAGCATCTAGAGGTTGCTTCTCTGGAGCTGTTCTGGATGTGCCTGGACTTGACAAGATGTAGTGATTAAGATTAAGTACATTTGGGAGAAAAAAAAATTTCTAAGATGTATATTTGAAACCCAGAGGGATCCCACCCTTTGTAATAGATAGTAAGTGGGAACTTTAGGCAGGTGTACTTATCTGGATGTCGTCTATTTGGTACATGAGAGGTAGATCTGAGTGGGTTTCCTGTAGCTTATAAGTTTGCAAAACAGATAACAGCATGAGTTAACAACACAAGCAGTCTTTAAGATGAACCTTTATTGGATCATATAGTGGAATGTTTTATTAGAGTTAGGCAAGTTTATAGGAACTTAGATAATATTAGGACAGTGGGATAGTAAGAAAAGGAAATATGAAGCATTTAATTGATGGCAACCTGTTGGGAGCCGACTCTTAGCTGAAAGCGGCTATCATCTTTACAGCCATCTCACGCCATATACCCTGACAAGAGACTTGTTTTCAACAGCCTGTAACAGCTGAGCACACTCTGATAAACATCGTGTTTTGCTGTTTAGTGCCACCAGCAGCTAGACACACATGGTCTCTACACTGCTAGTTAGGTGCACATGGTCTCCATGCTGCTAGGAGCATGACGTAGTGCCTTCAGCTGAGCTTGTCCATGAGGGAAAGGCACGTGGTAAAGGGTATAAATACCCAGGATTTCCTTTCAATAAACGAGACTTGATCAGATGTCTTGTCTCCATTTTTCTCATCTCTCACCCCTTCATCCGTGCCCTCTCTCTCTCTCTCTCTCTCTCTCTCTCTCTCTCTCTCTCTCTCTCTCTCTCTCTCGCTAGGCCCTGACCCGTGGACCAGAGCAGCAGAACGGGCTGTTACAGCAACTGAGTTTAGGTAATGAGGTAAGAGATAACATCTGTGAAAGTTTAGCTGTCAATGTAGTCAGAAGTCTGACTGAGAAAGAGTAAACAATAACCTACCAGTTATATATTACTTTAAAAAATGACAGAGTCCACTAGCCAACAGTTCCCATGGTCTCCAAAGTCTCTTGGGTGAAGTCAGTTTGGTTTCCAAGTGCAGATGCAGGGTTTTTTCTCTGTGGAATGGATACGCGTGACATGAGAAATGACTTACCTTGGTTTGACTTAGCTAAGTCATTTGACTCAGAGTATCCAGTTTAGCCCACTGCGTTTGTTCGCATACAATCCAGGCTGTATCTTCTAGGTGTCTGGCATCCAAGTCTTCTGAAATCATCTTGGATTAACTGTTATAAGCTTTAGGAATTCTGTTGGCCATGAGCTTAAAAATATTATTAGCAGACTTCTGACAAGATTGAGAGCCATAAGGATTGCTTGTAACTGAATAGAATTTAATAGCAGTAGGAAAAATCTATTAAGACAGAGCCTTTCCTATCTTAAGTAACTTTGGCGGGTTGTGTAGGTAGAGAAAAGCACATTTTTTTTTGTATTAGCAAAGAAACATTTGGCTAGGACCAGAATAAGAAAGCTGGCAACAGTGGCATACGATCATATGTCTGGCAAGTTGGGCCTGTGAGCCACAGGCGGTGTGGGTCAGGTCTGTGGGTGGCAGCAACAGGACAGGACTTCCTACTAGCAGCAGAAGTCACTGCCCAGTGCCTCTGGCGGCTGTGGTGGGCAAGGAAAAGCAAGTGTGTCCCTTATCACAGCAATGTTCATGTTAGTTATTTTTGTGGCAGAAGGCACCGCTAGCACTCACTTTACAGGTCCCAGGCAGAGAGGAAGAGAGAGAGAGCCTCCCTTGCATGGTTGGGCAGCCAAGCCTTTTGCATGGGTGGTTGTGCATGTGGGGAAGCAAGTCTCAGAGAGGTCCCTGGCAGAATGTAAGGAGAAGACCCAGAGCAGAGGTAAGAACCACAGAGGGTAGGGAGCAAGCCGGGTGTTGAACCTGCTGCTTTTCAGGCAAGGTGCTGGAACTAAATGGGTCCAGTCAGCCTGCAAATGATGAGGAGGATGGGGGGAAAGGAGCAAGCAGGGTCCCGGACCTGCTTTCCAGGCAACCGACAGAACTAAGTGGGTCCAGGTGGCCACAGATGGCAGAGGAGGAGGGGAAGAAGCACACAAAAGGCTGACCCGTGGAAGAGATACGCTGAAGACTAGGGTCAGAGTCGGTGCTCCTGAGGCAAAGAGAACAGTCTGTCCAGGCCTGGCCTGGGGTACTCATCGACGAGAAACTGTCTCAAGAGGAGAGGGGAAGTGTCCCATCCAAGGGGAGCAATCTTAGAACGAGGTTCAGGGAAGAACAGGGTTCGCTCTGAGCTCAAGAAATCTTTCTTGGGACCATGTGGACAGTTACCCTGGTCAGTGAGGGATGGGGAAGCTTACCAGTTCTAGGCTAGGCTAGTGAGCACTGATCTGATGCAAACCTGCAGACGTCCACTAGAGTCAAGGCAATTCCCCCAGTTTGGTTTAATTAAAAAAGAAAGATTAGAAAGAGGTGTAGGGTTGAGCAGGTTTCATGGCTAAGAGAACCTGGGGTGGGGAACAGGTAGAACACATGGAATGGGGTGATTTTGGCACGCAGCTTTGACGGACAACACCAGACCAGCTGGTTCCATGAGGGGAGGGGGTTTATTCAGGGTGGAGGGTGGGGAGAGAAATGGGAGGAATGGCAGAGAGAGAGGAGGGAGAGAGAGAAGTGGAAGAGGAATAGAGGCCGGCCATGACCACGTGGAGAGAGGGGGAAGGGAAGAGGGGTGAGTCAAGGGGACAGAGGGAACCTGCAGGCAAGAGATCAAGGGAACAAGAGAGAGAGAGAGGAGGGGCCAAGCAGCCCCTTTTATAGTGTGCAGGCCTACCTGGCTGTTGCCAGGTAACTGTGGGGAGGAGCATACCTGGCTGTTGCCAGATAACTGTGGAGGTGGAGTTTAAACAGAATACTAACACTCCATGTTCACAGGTGACAGGGGCAGCATCCCCTAAGAATTCCAGCTCAGCGATGACAACATGTGCCTGTGTGAGGATGGTGCACACATGAGCTGGAGCCTCCAGTGAGGGGACCAGAGCCACACTGGCTGTGCCACTTCTGCTGGTCTCACATTAGTTACATTACTCACTGCTCTGCCAAAAAACCTGACAGGAGCTATAGGAGTCAGGGGTTACTCTGGCTTAAGGAGGCACAGCTTGTGACAGGGAAGGTCTGTGGCAGGATGGGAGGTCACCATCAGGAAGCAGAGAGACAAATATCCAAGCCCCTCTTGCTTTTCCTTTGTTTTTTCCCATCTAGGACCTCAGGCCATTTAGGGTACATTTTCCCACCTCAATTGAATCTAGAAAGCCTTCACATACGCATAGAGATGTATCTCCAAACTGACCATCAACATACACCCAGGGGCTCCATGGGGCTGATGTAACTATGCCCATGCCAAGGCTCTAAAATTCATTTCCCTAGTAACAGGGATGACCACAGGGGCAGCTGTTTGTATACTTGTGTACATGATATTTTTCAGCATTGTATCTGTTATCCAAGTTTGGCCAACAAAGATTTCCCAAAAATTGTTAAAACATTGGTAGACATAGAACAGTGTCAGAAATACACATAGCGATAAGATTTGAGGTAACAGGAGAGATACAAAAAACAGATGCAAAAGAAACGTTATAGAGGAGAGAAAAATGACAGAGGAGTAGACAGAGGAAAACGCAAAGAAAAGGCTCAGGGCAGAGAATCAGACAAAGATGGGGCAAGCACAGCACAGGGTGTTTGCACACACAGGAGATGCAGTGGAGGGAGACAGGGCAGATGGAGGGACAGCTGAGGGAGGTGACTGTCCCATCAGTTATGTGTCTAGTCGCTTCTGAAATCAATCCCAACTTCTTTACAACATCAACAAAAGATTAAATTGGGGTTTTAATATTTGCCACCACAAAAAGTGCTTTTGTTTGAAAGACTGTAATCTTTGAAAAGTCTAGGTGAGCCTCAGTCAGTCACTGTACCTCACAGGACACACGGGATACACTGTGGAGAGGTCACAGCATCCGTCCCCAACAGTTCTGCCATGTTTACTTTCCCTGTCCTCACCAGCCTGAAGGAGGCTGGGGTGAGAACAGTGGACTGAACAGCAAATGTCCTGACCATAAGGATGCCACAGCTAGCACCAGCCTCCTCTGCCCGCCCTTACATGGAGCCCAGGGTGTTCCTGGTGGCTTTTGTAGTAAAAACCACTACTTCCCCACAGTTTAACCTGGTTACTTAGTCCCACATGACCCCACCCACCCCATTCAGTTACAGAGATTCAGGATACAAATAAATCATAGAATGTTTAATTATGAAAAAGAGGTGATGGTTTCAGCACATCTCTTCAGCAGCCTGTGTGGCACAGTAGAGACAGAAAGCCTGGAGTGTTACAGTAAATGGATGGTGTCTCTGGAATCAGCCCAGGGCAGAGCTGCCAACAAAGACTTGGAGACTCCGAGATCACAAGAGCTGGGTACACTGGCATTATGCTAGACTCTGAATCCAAGAGCGGCAGGCTGATACAGATGGGAATTTGGAGCAGGGACCTGCAGGCCTTACAGTGTGAGACAGTCAACTCACACAAGACACTCTGAGTCACTGTAGGAGCCCTGTGGGAGAGAGAGGAATCAGTCACTGGAGTGCCCTGGAGACGCCTGACTGTTCTGAATCTCAATCTAACTCTTTAGACACAGACAACTGGTGTCCCGGCCATGCCACCTCCTCTCCATTGCCTGTGCAAAGGAGAAAGCAGCTAAGGGGGGAAAGGGACACAGAGCGTCACAGGACACAAACGAGTGGGAGGGGAAGAGAAGCCACGACCCTCCCAGGGAATCTTTGTGTAAGTTGGAGAGATCCATCTCCTCTGCAGGACCATCAGCCTCTTCCTGACACTGTCACTGGCCACAGTCACAGTCTCCATGTAGGGCACAGAGCAGGCAACATCTTGGTGTCTACACCCATGGCTCAGGGTCCACTCAAGACACCACTCAAGTGATAGGGGCAAAGTCCTGCTGGGGATGAAGTCCCGGAGCTTCCGATGGACACTGGCTGTGACATCAACTGTGACCCTCTCAACCCCACAGCACAGACAGACTGTGAACCAGGACTGTGCCAGACACAGCTGCCTCACATCTTCCCTCCCACCCTCACCCCTGCACCACCCTTCCCTCACACCCTCACCCATGCACCACCCTTCCCTCACACCCTCACCCCTGCACCGCCCTTCCCTCACACCCTCACCCCTGCACCATCCTTCCCTCACACCCTCACCCCTGCACCACCCTTCCCTCACATCCTCACCCCTGCACGGCCCTTCCCTTACACCCTCAGCCCTGCACCATCCCTCAGACATGAGCTGAAATATTACCTGCTGGAGGAGGCCCCTGAGGTCCTGCAAAAGAAGTCACAGAGAAAGGTGTTGTTATGAACACAGGGACTTTCTCATGCAGCCTGAGGGGTGATGGATCCTCGGCTGGAGCTGTTCTCTCCCTGTCGGTATTCACTAAGACCCTGAGCAGCCTCACAAATGGATGAAACTGCCACAGGAGGGAAAGCAAGACCTATGCTTTCTCATTGGTGGAAGCCTCTGGGAAGGAGTCAGTGAGAGTGGTGGACAGTGATGGAGATTACAGAATGAGCTTCACCATGGGTCTGTGGCCATCACACAACCAGCAAAACAAGATCCCAGTGTCTCCCCTCAGTACCCTCTTACCCACAGCCCCGCTCCATCCTGCAGCCCAGCTCCTTCCCGCAGCCCAGCCCACCACCCCCAGGTCTCCAGGGCTCCTCACCTTTCTGATTCCTGTGATACACAAAAAGGCCAAGCCCAAGGAAGATCACCCCGAGCATGCAGCCTCCGATGCCACTCAGCATCTTGCTCTGGGCAGACTCAGACTGTGCCCCTGGGGAGCAGAGCCCAGTATCAGCTTTTGTCCCCACAGGGCACAGCAGCCCTGACTGAGAGCCCACAGCCCAGCCTGAGCCACAGGAGGTGAGGGAGCTGGCAGCACCCTGTTCTGTGTTCTGTTCCAGGGCCAGGAAGGGCCAGGAGCTCTGAGCACAGTGGTGGGGGAGGGGATATGTGGGTGTTTGCACCCCATAGACTTATCTATAATCTTGAGCTAAAATACCCAGTCTCTACCTATCACTGTCAATTGCTCCGGATATTAGAGATGAGTTCCAGGGGCTTCAGTGTATGTGGTGATCTCCAGAACAGCTGTCTGGGAAGACAGTTAGGTCAGGGCTCTCCAGATGTCCTGACTGTGAGGTGAGAGATATGGTTCCCTGTGGTTCTTGCTCAGTAGTGGAAGCAGACCATGTAGGACAACTGATAGGGTGGGTGACATCAGAGGGATGAAGTAATAAAAGCTAAAATTCTGTGTCTTGTGGGGCCCCCAGTGTAAGAAAATAGTTTTCCTTACGCCACTCCACAGTGATGGGGCTCTGCAGGCTGGGGTGCTCCACATGGCAGGTGTAGACCTCTCCCCGCTGAGGGGTCATCTCCAGCATGACCAGGATCTGGAAGGTCCAGTCCCCATTCCTAATAAGCTGTGTGGACACGACCCCCACAGTCTCTTCCTGGCCATTCCGGAACCAGCGCACTTTGATCTGGGCTGGGTAGAAATCTGTCACTGAGCAGACCAGCAAGTTGTGGTGGTTGAGGGCCTCTGTCCTTGACAGGGAGATGGCGACATTGGGCTGCTCTAGAGTGACAGGAAAGATGGTGAGTGAGATGGGGGCCACGTGGAAACTCCTCTCAGGGAAGAGGCAGGGTGGGGATGAGTGCCTGGGTTCTAACAGTGAATGGAAATCAACTCCACAAATAAAATTTAACTCACTAGGAAAATAAGTCAGTGTGGCCATGTTCCTATATAATGTGAAATGTAGTAAGACAAAAGGAGCTGGGGACAGTGATGCACTCAGGAGGTAGAGCCAGCAGGATCTCTTCTACTGGAAGCCCAGCCTGGCCTATAGAGCAAGTTCTAGGACAGCCAGGACTTCACACAAAAACCCTCTTTGTAAATTCTCTGTGCATTTTTTAAATTTATGTGTAAATAATTTTATTTATGCAAACATATAAAAATGAACGGGTTTTATAAAGCAAACAACAAAAAGACAAAAGAAAAATGGCTTCTGATTTCAAGTTAATTTTTGGGGAAAAAAATTGCAAAAGTAACTCCAGTGCGACAACCTTCCTTCATCTCCTCAGACTGTGGTGCACAGTGGGATGACTTTGATACATCATGGCCACTATGTCAGAAGCCGTCTACCCGGGTGCTGTTAACCCTTCAGTGAGGAAAACAGCATACACACATAACGTGTTTCATGAACTGAGAACACGCTGTGTTCTCTCATTTTCTCCTCTCCCTGCCCCAGTTTTCTTTCCTCAGTCACGTGCATCTCAGTCACGTGTGTTGATTCCTGGCGGCCATCACTGCTCCCTTGCTGTGAGGAATCAGTTGCCAACAGTTGAGTAACAAGGACACCCGGAAAGGAAAGCGTTAGCAACCTTTCCAGTTAACCGCTGGTCCTGATGTAGGATATGAAATCTGAACAAGACGCTATAACTGGCATCATGTGTGAGAGGCTCGCGCAGTGTCAGGAGTAGAGACAGAAATGAGTCCCTCAGATTTTGTATCAAACTTTTAGTGTGACCCAAGTCAACACAGTCTACCTCAGAGAAGGAGGAAAATGGCAGTGCTGCCTTCAGGTCAGCGCCAGTCAGCGAACAGCCCTCACGGGACAACCTCCGCCTCCAAGGGACAGCGGAGTCAGGGGAACAGACAAATGGAGGGAGTGACCACAGTAACCGAGGGACCGCTTCCTTCGAGAACGGGACGCTCCCCCGCTCGCCCTCGTCCCTCGTCCCTGCTCAGCTTCCCGGCCTCGGCGCCGACAGGTGACTGAGGTCACAGCAGAGCCAGGGGTCAGAGGGCAAAGGGCAAAGGTGAGACAGGAGGGAGACTCAAGGAGGCGCTGGGTGGTGCGGGGCAGAGGGAGGAGGCAGGGCCGCTCCTCACGCGGGACTCTGGCTCCGTGTCCCCTCACAACCCCGAGGGACCCTACGCGCTCACCGAGCCGCCGCAGTCCATTGTAGGACTCCGGCCCCTCATAGTTGTATCTGCACACCGTGTCCAGCTCGGCCCGCGTCCGCTCCAGGTACTGCTTGTTGTAGTCCTCGGCTATGTCCCGTCCCAGCTCGGTCACCGCGATGTGCTCGCCCACGTCGCTGTCGAAGCGCATGAACTCCTCCTGGTTGTAGATGTGTCTGGTCACGAGCCGTATGCGCTGCGTCCCGTTGGTGTAGTAGCACTGGAACTTGAACTGGATCACGAAATCCCCTGCGGACGGACGCGGTCAGCGCGGGGACAGCGGGGACCACGGAGACCACGGCGCCCCGCGGCCCCGCCCCGCGCCGGCGCTTCCCGCGTGGGGCGACCGCTCTCTGGGGCCGCCGGGCCTCGGGGCCTCGGGACGGACAGTCGCTGTGCCGCCCTCACCGCACTTAGACGACGGAACTCGGCCTGCGCGGACCCGCTTCTCCGGAGCCCCGGGGGAGTTCCACCCGGGTAAGGAAGAGCAAGGGAGGGAGCCGACTGGCAGAGCTCGTCCTCATAAGAATATACCCCACACAGCATTAATTCTACTTGGTACGTTTGAAAAAAAAATTGAGGGAACATCAAAAGTTGGGGGGTGGGGGAATGGGTCTGGATGGAGTTGGAAAAGGGGCTGACTATGACCAAAATTGTACGAAATTCTCAGCGAGCTAATAAAACTAGGATGGAAAGAAAAACAGAACATTATGCTGTTGCTGCGACCCCAACCCCACCCCATGAGATTCTCTCCTGTGTGCAAAAGGCCCTGACCACCCCGCCCCTAGGGGGCGCTCGTTCTCAGGAGAGCCTGGTTGCAAAACAGACAACTGGGAATCCAGGCAACCTCTGGAAACTGCCTGCTTATGCGGTCACTCAGGGCATCTTAAGTGTAACTGCAAGACTGAAGCCACCTCTGTGCACCGGCTTAGGGGACTGGGGCTTTCTATAAGTTACTCTCCGGTCTCCAAACTAGGACACACACATACACCGGGTATGTATCACATATTTCCTTTCTAGGCCTAGTGTTTTCTTGGAAATTCAATTTATGAACCCCGTTTCTGAGTCCACGGTTCCACTTGACCAAAAAATTTAGACTCCTTGGCTGCTGGATTCTCTCAGAGTTAGACGCCTAGAGTTGACTCTCTAAAACCTCCACTCCACATCAGGAATTTTCCTCAAATGCCAAGACCACAGAGCATCACTGGCCTGCTTCCTCAATTCAGAATTTGACATTTCCTCCAGACAAGGTCCTAGGATCTTGGAGGGGGTGGGGCTGATATTGTAAACCCTGCTGTCTCCTCACCCACAACCCCGTGCCAAGTCTTATCTCTGGTGGTCGATTTAAACTATGCCTCCTCCTACTTTTCTATGCCAGGCTCACCCTGTGCAGCGGGCACCATCCTAACTTCTATATTAGAACACAGAAATGACAATGGAGTCTCAGTCTCTCTTCAGAGAAAGGAATCGATGGTAAAAGACTGCTCTAAAGTCAGGATTTTGCCACCCCCTCCCCACAAACACACACACATATCCCAGGACCCCAGGGTCCCTCAGAACCAGTTCCCCCCAGCATGCTGGCTCTGGAGAGCCCTGCCCTCACTTACTTGGGGAGTCTCTGCCCTCAGTTCCTGGGCAGCTCAGCACCATCAGCGCCACCACAGCTGCTGAGAAGAGGAGGCTGGGGGTCTGCAGAGCCATCTCTAAGACAGGGACTGGCAGTCACCAGGACTCACACCTGCTGTGTCCCCTTCAGAAAGCAAAGTTCTGGAGCCTAGAGTCATCTGAAACCCCAGAGGTTGGGGTTGGTCCCAAGTGAGGAACCAATCAGCACGGGAGCTAAAGCCTGTCATCTGTCTCTGGGCAGACTTTGTTTACAAAGGCTCTCTCTGTGGGGCATGCTGTTTCTTCATGGAGCCCCGCTGGATGGACATTTGAGGTGACTGCTCCTCTCGGTTACAGAGTAAACCTTTCCAAACTGCAGACTGTCTGTGTTTGGGGTTTAAAGAACCAAGGAGAAAAGTGAGTCAAGTATAGACAACTTTGGGATAATTATTTCAAGTCTACTGTTCTTACACTTGAGGTTGTAGTGGGAGAAATGAGTGTGACATGCATTATAGGACAAGCTCACATGAGAGAGCAGTGTGGTGTGGTTAACAGTGAGAAGCATGAGCTGTTGTGTGTGGGAAACAGCAGGTTAATGTATGTGCCAGTCCTGCTGGCTCATGTACCTTCCCCACGCAGGAGTCCACTGCGTTCATGATATTCCAATGAAAACACAGAAGTTACTCAACCCGACTTTCCTCTTCTGCTGTTCATATCCTCCACAGCCATGATGTCAGCGAAGGAAAACTCCATAACCTTAGGGCTTCCAGATACAGCTGCCTGGAATCTCAAGGACAAAAGGTGAACAGTGTAAAGCAGCAGCTTCAGGAAGGGACGGCCACAGGCTTGTCACACTGCACTATGGCAGCCCGAACAACAGAGTCATCAACATGTGCTTCCAACACATTTCTCCTCAGAGCACACACTCCTGAGTCTAATTACCCATCAGCTGGAGCAGTGTCTGCAAAACGCCAATGTCTAAACAATAAGTCTCTTTTCCTCGAACTACGATACTATCTCTATCATTTTAGCTCCTAGTTAAACAGGGGTCGGGATCTGAGAGCAGACTTGACCAGGGAAGAGAGAAAGGGGTGGAGGGCTCTGATGGCACAGGTGAACTGCAGCATTCCAGGGTCCACACTGGGTCCCTGGTGTAGAGAACCAGAGAGGGACAGCCATGGATTCCCAGCAGCAGCTGTGCTCAGGAGAGACACAGATCTCCTCAGCCTACACAGGGAGCATAAAGGAGAAACATCAGCTCAGATGGGGTCAGGTTAGAGACAAACATGGCCATTCAGGGACCATGGCGGTGGATGTTCTCAGTGTCCTCAGCCCCCACCTCAGACCTCCACACAATAATCTGCAGCCTCTGCCTCTTCTACACCTTCCCTAAGATGAAAACTCCTAGGTTTTGTCTTGGGACTATGAAGGAAAGCCTATGCCATACAGGGGGTTTCCAGCTCTCCTAGGCCTCTTCACACAGGCTTTTCACCTAGCAACAGAAGCATCATCAGGAATCCTTTTTCTGATTGGGTAATATCACATTAGACCACCAGTGCCTTGGGCTTCTGCCAGCTCCTTCTCCCAGCCCAGCCTTCTCTAAAGTCCTCAGCAGGGTTCATGTCCCTCCTGTCTCACACAAGACTGCCACTCACTTCTGCCCTGGCTTGAAAGAAAGGGAATCCCAAAACCTCATCCCATGGTGACTTCTCTGACTCACACTGTGGTCCTGTGTGGGGACAGGCCCCTTAGACTGAGGGCAGTGTGGACCCATCTGGCTGCAGAAGACAAACTGCCATTTATACTGGCCGAAGTTTTACACAGGACATCTTCAGGTCACAGATGTAGGATCAAAGAGTTGTGGACTCCTTCCAGGAAACTCAAGAAGAAACCCTCTCCTCAGCCAGTATCCCTTTGAAATCAGTGCTTGGTCAGTGGGGCCAAGTGTAAGATTAGTAATCGACTCGTCACCAAAATGGACACCCGGGACTCTATTGTGTCCACTTCAGGGATCAAGTGCACCATCAGGACCCCACGGCTCCTAACGACACTATTAATATAATGCTAAGAATGACGTTGAATTTTCCTTTAATAAAATATATCAGGCAACTACCCTGAAGTTTTCCTTAGTCTATTTGAAGTTATTTAGGTATTTCCACTATTCAATTCTTGAGCAATATGTTATATTAAGTTTCATTATAAATATAAAGTATGGGTTTTATTATTCTGCAAGTTTTTCTCTTTAAGTAACATTTTAGAAAAACCAGAGTCACACAGGCAGCAGAGCGAGCACAGACACGCCATCTGAACCTCAGAAGATGCAACTTCACTTGCAGAAGAAATGCACACCACAGGCAGCGGCTTGAAGCAGATGTAGTTTGTAAACACCTCTGGGATCTGTGGTAACCTGAACATACATCACTCTCTGCTGTACAGTCTCTGCCTTGAATGGCTACCGAGAATCCACGTATCAGAGGCCTGGCTGCTGCTCAGGACATCACTGGGAGAAGGCAGAAGCTTGAGGAGGTAGAGCCTAGAAGGAAATCGGCCAAGGGTGTGTTGGGGCTGTAGAGGCTCCGCCCCTCCCTTGCTTCCAGGCAGCCATGATGAGCAGTTTTCCCTCTGTGTCCCTCCATGATGATCTGCCTCACTGCAACCCAAAGGAAACAGAACCACAGGGCTGCGGGTGAAACCTGTGAACTGGGAGCAGAAGGAGACCTCGGACCTTATAGTCTGATTCTGACAACCACCACTGTGCTACTAGAAGGGCTTCATGAAGCTGAAAATGAAACAGGATCTGGAGTCTCATAGCAGGGAAGGGAAATGACCAGGTTGTGACTTTAAAAAAATAATAATAATTGCCAGGTATGGTGGTTTGCACCTGTAATTCCTAAGTGTCTCAGCACTTAGGAAGCAGAGACAGGAGGATTACCATGAGTTTGAGACTATCCTGATCTACCAACACATGCCAGACCACCAAGAGCTACATAGAAGAACTCAGTCTTAATCAATAAATAAATAGATTGACAGATAAGAAATAAAAATACTAAATGTACATTATGACACCATGTATGCTAACTGAAAGATAGCACAAGTTAAATTTTAACCTAACTGTGAATTCTAAGCACGATCTGAACTCCTTTAGTACTGCAAAAAAAAAAAAAAAAAAAAAAAAAAGAATTTTAAAGCAACAATATCATTAAAAATAAGATTAGAAGTTCCAGCCAGAGTACTGCACAGCACCCCTGGTCCAGCCATGTGGGTGCTGGGAGCTGAGACAGGTTCTCTGCAAAAAGCATCCAGCGCTGTAACCACTGAGCATTCTCTCCAGCTCCCCCTCCTTGCATCTCTGTGGTGTCAGTGGGAAAGGAGAGCCTGAGAGCAGGTGACACTCTGGAAGGCATTTGCAAGTTGGGTTCGTATGTGGGTCAGCCAGGTTTCCGGCAGGGAAGACACAGCAAACTCAGCTTTGTTGCTTTGAGAGGAGTCTGGTCAGGACCTACTTACTAGCTGTGACATCTGAGGGTGTGCTGGGTTAGGGAGAGCACTTAGCTGCCCCAGCTGCCATCCTGTGGTCCGAATAAGATATGTGCTGAGAGGCTCATGGTAGCTGAACAATTACCCACAGCTGTAAGTGCAGTTTGGAAAAGTCACAGAGCTTTTAGGAGCTTTATTGGAGGAAGTATGTCACTGGGGTGGGCTTTGAGGGTGCTGATCCATGCCCCACTTCCTGTTCCTTCTCACTCTCCTTCCTGTGTGCAGATGAAATGTGGCCACCCAGCTCCATGCTCCTGCTGACAGGCTATCCCTGCCATGAAGGACCCTATCCTGCTAGGATCATAAGCCAAAATAACACCTTTTCTCCTAGTCAGTATGCATTATCACAGCAACAGAGAAGAAACTAGCACCCATCTTTAGCCTCAGAACTGAAGAGAGTGGTGACAAGGCCCTCAATCGAAGATCTGGCTAGAGGGAGCTGCATGGTAACACCTGGGCCTTTCTGATCAAAACCTCAGCCTTCCATGACCTAGAGACAGAGATGGAAGAAACAACAGAGCCCCTGCCACCTTCCTCTAACTGGCTTGTTCCTCTCGACCCAAACCAGAGTCCAAATGAGAGCCACCACCCACAAAACCATGGCTACTCAGACCCAAGCAATCAAATCTCTTCCACTTGTGCATTCCCACCAAGCTGTGGAGACTCCTGGGGTAAGTGCAGTTCCCGGTGCCACCCGGGCTGCTCAGGTAACAGACTGACGCCTCAGTCCTTCTCCATGATGTCCGTTCTCAGCCCTTCTCACTGTCTCACATATAACTCTGCTCTTTCAGAGGACAGCTCCTCTCAGAGAATTAAAGTGTGCCTTCACTTCATCTTCATTGAAACGGAGAAGACAAGACACTCTCCTGTCCCCACATGAGCCAAGCCCCGTGGATGTAGAAACTCAAGGCTGGGACAGGAAACTCAGAGAGGACAGACCCCTCCCCTCGGGGAGGGGGAACAGTGGCAGTAGCACCTGCCCCTGCACATGTGTGTGGGCCCTGCATCTCCAGCTTAAATTGATTGTGGTTAATTAGTTCTTTATGTGAAACACAATTTTTATTAACCATACAGGTCTGTTTAATCTTTAAATGTCACATAAGGTGAGTACAGCTAGACCAGCCAGGACATGTAATCCCAGCACTATGAGGGAGGCAGAGGCACAAGGAGCTCTGTGAGTTGGAGGCCAGCCTGGTCTACAGTTACAAGTGATGTGGGACTATATAGTAAGACCAGAAGTAAACGAACAATGTAAGTACAGTGTCAGATTCCCCAGCCTGTACAGTGGTTACTGTGTATACTCATAGTCAGGCCTGCATTTATGCAACTGATGTTACTTCAAAAGTGTTTGATTTTATTGGTTAGACAGCTATTCAAGTTCACAACAGACATTAACACCTGTGGACCCTGGGCTGTCCACACAGCTGTCTGCACAGATGTCACCCCTGAGGACCTGAGAGGAAAGGGCACTCTCAGCAACAGCAGCAGATTTCCATCCCTAAGACAGGGTCCATGCAGGATGTGGGGAAAGGTGGAGGAAAGTCCAGGCAGACTTGTTCAGTTGTCCCATGTGGGTAGTGACAGTGCTCACATGAAACACCAGCCCACCAGCAATGAGAGTGTGGGGCA